TAGTGACTTGAGGAACCTTCAGCTTCCAGCATGGCCACATTTCTAGAGCTCATCTGTACTGGTGTGTATTTTTTTTTTTCCTAGCAGCTGTGTTCAACTGAGGGCTTATGGGAGTCTGGGATGTGCTATTCAGGCAATGGGAGGCCTGCATTTTGATGGCTTGTATGAAAAGCTGTGTATGGCTGCATGCATAGAAGTGTTTTTTGTAGTCCTCTGCCATCAGCTGTGGAGCTAACACAGCTTTGTGCCCCATTGAGGATGTGGGGAACAGGACCAGATGGGAGGGAGTGGGGTTCCTGGTACAGTTTCTGGAAGTCCTCACTGAGACACCCTATTCAAAGTGGATCCTCTGGGTCCTCTCTAGACTCCTTCAGCTGAAGATACTCATTGCCCTGTTTGGTGTTGCTGGGAGAGGTTCTGTGCTTGAGACAAGCTGAGACTCATCTGCCACTTCATCACCAAAGCAAGTACCTCCTCAATGAGCCTTTGTGCCCCAGCCCAGAAAATAAACAAGGGTTTGAATGCCCTCTGGGTCAAACAGCATCACTCAAATGTGAAATCTTCCCTCCTACATCTTTGCCACCCTGGCTGAGCCTGTTTCAAGGAGCTGGGGAAGGGGGGACAGAGGGCTAGAAAGGGTCATCTTTGGGTTATTGCTGTTTTGCTGTGATACTGGGGGAAAGTTGGGAGGTTGCGTTTTAAGCTAGCAGGAGGGACAAATGTGTCCTAATCATTTGTCGCTTCATCTTCAGATCTGGAATAAGCAGGTAGAATCTGATGGTATCTGTGCTTTCATGTGGGTTAAGATTTAATTTGCTCCTATGTTTCTCAATCCCTGTTCCCTTCTCCTGAAATTGAGTTATATGAACATTGGCTCCCTTGTGCTGTGCTTTCTCAAGATAGAGGGTTACCTGGAATGCCACCGAGGCTGTTCCTGTTTAGGTGCCAAGTTGTGTCTGTGGGGGGGAAAACTGGAGTCTGTTGCAATACACTGCTAGTATTGCTCTGCAAGCAGCTTCTCCTAAGCAGCTTTATTAAAGTGTTACTATGTGTTACTAAATCTCTTGGTAAGGGAATTTCCAGGCTTTGTGGGAAAACAGGCTGCCTACAGGTCCTCTACACAAGCCTCTGGAATGGTGGTAGTGCATGTTGTGTGCTTTTTCAGGGGAGCTTTCTCCAGTGCAATTCGAGTGACTGCAGGAGAGCATCAAACTTTATTTTCATTCCCTTTGGGACAGGCAGAGTAGATAGAAGGCTGTTCTTGCTTGTTTATCCTGTCTTTGATACTGGACACACCCTGAGGCCTTCAGGCCATCCCATTCCAGCAAGAAACAGGATCTTTTCTGTGTACTTGCTGCCTGAGTGCTCTCCGGATGGTGTTCTGGCTTCTGGAGAGATGTCTGAAGGAACCTGGGATAGAATACCTAAAAGTAGCAGAGTGCATAGGTTCCCTGCAAGGACTGGTAAGGGAGTCAGAGCCTCTAAGATGCTAGCAGGCTTTCAGACCTGGCCAGCATGAGTGTAGAGCATGGAAGTTCTTTGCTGATCTCTGAATTTGCTACTGCTTGTTCAGTTCTTCATCACCTTGTCTGCCTTGCAAAGAAACTTTCATGCTGGCTGGGCAGAGCAGCCTCAAATCCAGCTTGTCTGAGGAGGTTCAGCTTTCACGAAACTGCAGTGGGAGGCTTTGAAGGCTGCTGACTGCTTTTCAAGGGGGGCCCCATTGGAGGGGAAGGATAAGTCCATGTGAAAATATGCAGACAAGTCAGTAAATGAGCAATCTCCATCAGAAAATCTGTGTTACACTATAATGATGATTTTTGCATTATAAACAGGTATTGCAAAAATCCATGGCACCTTCCCAACAGCTTTGCTCTAGCATAGATAATACACACAAGATAAATAAGGGAATGTGATGACAGAAAAATACCCCCAAACTCTTGCTAGCAAAGTCCTTCCTTACTACTATGCAACTGCCAGCAATTACATCTGTGCCAGATAGTGGTTGTGGGAACCTAGGGTTCAGATAAGTGTATGTCATGTAGATTAAGTCAAAGTTAGCTGGTAGCATGTTTGTTTTTTTTAAGGTTGGATTCACTATGTGAAGCCAGTGAGAGCTGACATGTCATTTTTTATGGCTTTATAAATAACCGTGACCATTTATAATGGCATGAGGGGGGCATAATGGCACATGTGTGCTATAAGCTGTTCTAGCACTTACTACTTTCCTCCTAGTATTTTCAAGACAGGTCTGCAATTACTAACCAGCAATAAAAAAGGCTTCCAAGTAAATGGTTTTATATTGATAGTACATTGCTGCTGTCTGACAACTGTTGCTGGGTGCCCAGTGCATCTGTCTACCCCTCTGCAGGGCCTTTTCTCCTTGGGTTACTGATGCTGCCCAGACTTTGTCAAGTAAGGTGACAATACCTGTTCCCTTTGAGACTTTTGCTGCAGCAGCAAGGAATGCAGGAGTAAATCCTGTTTCTCTCTGTAATTTGATAGATGTTATAAAAGGCAAATTGCTATGTATTTCTGCCCATTGTTAGCCCATCCTGTTTGCAGCTTGAGGCAATTCTGCATGTCTCTACCCCTTGGAAATGTCAAAGCACTGGTAAAAGCCTGTGAAATGAAACTAATGCCAAACTAGCCTTCTCAGACTCTGGATGTGCAGCTTCTACTGGCAATGCAGTTGCTAATGTGTACAATAATGACTAATCACCTGTATGATAATTAACCACAGTTAGTGCACTGCACATATTGCAAAAGTGATAGGAAGACAGAAGTGCTGCTTTCCAGAAAGCCTGAACACATGGCAGCCAGCTTGGGATAAGGGAACATGCCTGGTTAATATTGCTCTGCTGTCGCACTGAAGCATCCCAAAATAATGGGGAGCTTGGTCTGCAAACACTGCAATCTGATTTAATGTTCCAGAGCTCTGGTTTCCTAAGTGCATCTGCCTCCTGCCATGGAATAGGGAGGCTTGAGGACCTTAGGGGTGAGGAGCCCTTGGTGTCCTCCAGGCTCTGCTGCTGAATTTCAGTGGCTGTAGGAGATGCTCACAGCATATTTCATACCTGCTGCAGCTGAGATACCAGTTTTTGTTCAACTTCTTTCAAAGCTTTCATGGGGTTTAACCAGTTAATACTTGTATATCTCGAGGTTTTAGCTAGGTTTGGTATCAGCTCAGTCTGTCTTCTGAAGTTGCATAAACTTTTTCAATGTATGCTCCCTTGTTTATAATCTCTGTTCATTGTACCTTTTTAAAAGATGTGAGTTCTGTTCATTATATTTAGTTTTCTATTTTGAGATGGCATTCTGTTAGCTCGAGCATTTTAGAAGAATTCTTTCAAACCCTCTTGATATAGATTACTCTTTTGCAGCAAAGCTACACAGTTGAAACAGACTTGGTAATGCTACAGTAAATGTCTTTCCCATGCAAAATAGCAACTAGTGTGTTCAGTTACTTGGCCTCTCCAGAGCTGCTGTGATAAGAGTTCAGTCTTAAATGTATGTTGGCTGAATTGGTTTTGTATATGGTATCACATGAGCTGAGGTGAGCTCTAAATTCACATAGCTTTTCATTTAGTAGCTTGATTATTTTTCATGTTCAATATCTGGCTCTGGAGGTGTGTGTTTTGCTTGAGATTTGTATTGGATTCCACTATTTCGATTTAATGCTGAAGTGATAAATGGCTTCATAAGTGGCTTCCAGCAATCAGTGATGCAGCAAATGTTTGATTAACACCTGGCTACAGCCTTCTCCTTTAGAGGAAGTGAGAGAAAAAGTCATTGAACCAAACTAACTGTGGGTTGTCTTTCCCAAGAAATAAAAGCCTCTTAGGAAAGCATTTCCTATTGCTCTGTGCTCTGAACTCTGCCTGTATTGTAGTGTTTTTTCACTGATTTCATAGTATGCCCTCAGACCACTTAATGAGTTTCCTCTGTTAAGAGGCAGGGCCAGATTTACCTAAAGCAGAATTCAAAGCTGATGGGCTGTCTGTCCCAGCTGCTGTGTACTCCTGGTACCCTCCTTTCCATTGAGCATCTAGTCCTGTCTGCTCTTGGATCTTCTCCGGAACTTTAACTGCCTCACTTCCCAGGCAGTAAAGATCAGCTTTTCTTATTTCTCCTCTGCTCATTTTTCCAATGTTCCAACCATTTGGAAGTTTTGTCACTAATGATGTTTTATGGCCTTTTTTTTTTTTACTGGATACAAAAAGTGTGTACTATCTCAGATGTGTGCATAAAATTAGAATTTCTATTTCTGAGTCACTATAAAACCAAGCCTGGGATAAAGAAGCATATTAGGTTTATTTGCTTAGAGTCTGGGCAAGTGCAACTCATTACCCCACACCAGTTCTTCAAAAACCAAGAGGCTGTTAAAGCACTTGTTCCTGAAGTATTTAGCTTGCTAGGCTCAACTATTTTTACTTGGGGGGGAAAAAAGGTTGCCATTTCTGTCACAAATAACTTTATACCTTCTAGAACAGAAACTTAGGGTGTTAGAACCAAAATATGTAATTTAACACCGAAGTATCTATAAAATGGCTTTGGAAATGTTGAGCAGTAAAGGGGCCCTGTTGACTGCTGTGAAACTATTCATATGTATGGCACTATTCATATTTAAATATAGATCTAAAGGGGTTTTCAAGGAACAGCCTAAACTTGAATACTACTTTGATAAACAGATATCCTTCCAATTGGGATTCAAATGGTCAGGGAACAAAAGTTGTGTGAAGGCAATTCCCAGGTCATTTCCTGCAAAAAATCTGCATGCCCTTGTTTGCCATGCACTTTAGAAGAAGTTGAGATCCCAATGCATGACAATCTCAGAGTTTAAAGTGGAAAAGGAATATCTTGGTTGTATCCTGAATAGCACAGGGCAAAGTATTTGGATGCATGATTTTGGTAGTCAGTCCAGTAACTATCTTTTATATTTGTATTTCAGAATTTCCTTCTCTTTATGGTAACTTAAATCCTAATGTCTTCTAGGCAGTCTTCAGGCCACTCGGGCATTGATGGTGGCTGCAATTCTCCTGGGCCTTGTTGCCATATTTACTGCTGTGACAGGCATGAAATGCATGAAGTGCATGGAAGATGACCAGGTGAAAAAGATGCGGATGGCTGTCTTTGGTGGAGTGATTTTCATCATTGCAGGTTGGTAACACATGTCTTTAACCTTAAATGTGCCAACTCTAAATGGCAGGCAGGTTTTGGATGAGCTGTCATTGCTCCAAGAGCATTTTGGGACTGAGAGCCTGGAGAAGAGAAGCACTAGCTGTTGGCTCTCTAGTTGCCACTAGCTGGCAAGAGCCCCATCTGGTCTCTTGCCTCTACACTATGCTTGCTGTAGTGGGGGGTTCTCTGCCACCCATCTCCATCAGCAGAGCTGGCCTGATCTAGACGTGCTGCACAGAAAAATTTTGCCAAAAGTCCTGTGCTGGTGTGACTCCTGTGGGTGGCTCTAAATACCTCTTTCTTGTCCAAGTCTAAGCAATAGCTCAGACTTTCTCAGGGTGGTAGCAGCTCAGCATCAGTTCAGATACTTGCTCTGTGACACTCTTTTTGCAGTGAGTTTTGTTGATTTTGCTTTTTTAAGCAGTAAGTGGTGTGTGTTCTCTCATGCACAGGAATGGCAGCGCTGGTGGCCACATCATGGTATGGCAACAGAGTGGCTCGGGCCTTCTATGACCCTTTCACCCCTGTCAACACCAGGTACTGCCTCATTTTATGTAATACATGAACACTTCGTAAAGCTGCTATGTAGAGCATGACAAATGTTCACAGGGTATAGTTATGAACAGTGGCTCAAAGCAGGAGAATTTCCTGAACTGCCTGGGTCAACTTTCCTACTGGACAGAAGTAGCAACGTTGTGACTAGATCTCATCATTATGGTGGCTCTTGCAGTAACACCAAGGTTTAAGGCAGCAGGATTGCAGCAGACCTAGTTTGTGACTTCTGTTTTTTTCCTACTACTGCATGCCTGAGGCCTAGCTTTTATAGACCTTGGCCTTCTTATGGTCTTGCTGAGTGGACTGGAACAACCAACTGTGCAAAGCTTTGTAGATCTGAAGGTCAGAATCCCAGGTCTCTGTTACTCTAAAGTGCCTGCCTTGCAGGAAGCCACTTGCATAAGGGTTTCAGCCCCCTCCTGCATCCTGCGAATGTGCTAATATAAGCAATATCTGTAATCCAGGGACATTGCCTGCAGTATTTACTCTCCTCCTTGTTTCTCCCCCAGGTTTGAATTTGGATCAGCCCTCTTCATTGGCTGGGCAGCTGCTTCTCTGGCCATACTGGGAGGAGCCTTCCTCTGCTGCTCCTGCCCACGGCAAGAAACCTCCTATCCACCCACCCGAGGCTATCCGAAAAATGCCCCCTCCACAGGGAAGGATTATGTATAATGAAATGAAGAAATGGAGCCACCAGCACTGGTAGTGAAGAAGCCTTTGGAGAAGACACTACAATGCTACTGTCCTGAACAGAGCTCAGACTTCCCAAGTTCTGCCTTCCTCTTCCCTCTCCTCCAAATGTGTATATTTTTGTATCTTCTTTGCTACAGGACGTAACTTCTCCTTTCTCTCCCAGCCCATGGAGGAAAGCTAGCCTAGGTTCATAGGTATTGTCACTGGAAAGATGAAGCCTCTGAGCTTGGGTTAACTTCAGTATTTGGGAGTAAAAGGGAAAATGATGCTGTTGGTGCTTTTTTAGTTTTTCTTTCTTTTTTTTTTTTTTAAATTAGATGGTAACAATTCAGTCCTAATACTCATTAAGTTAGAGCCCATTATGGGGGGTGTGTAGGAATTAAAAGAACACTTACAAACACAAAGTCATAAAGCCAATGCTAAGGGGATACCTAGTTTTAGGGCAAAGACTTCACATGTGTAGGAATGCTTGAGGATTCTACAATGCTCTTTTACTCTCATTGGCACTCTTCTCTCTGTACAGATTGGCAAGATCAAGGCAATTAAAAAACATGCAGTTGTCCATGTGCATGCTGTTGACCAACAGAAGACACAGTATAATGTGGCTTGGTGTAATACCATGTCACTCTTACTGAGATCTCACAAACTGATTGTGAACTCCCAAAGAAACTGCAGGTTTCCCTGGTGTTCAGGAAGCGAGTGGGGAAAAAAAGATTCCTTTCTGCTTTCCCTGGCTAAGCACTGCCACTGATTGTTTCTGATATTCTAGCTCTAAAAATCTAACTTAGATCTTGAACTTTTCCCTTGTGTTACAAGGTACCTCTAACAAACTCTCCTTTCTTGGAGTTGCTTTGCTAAAATGCTGGCTTGTGCTTTCTACCTCTTGGTTTTGGCCATTATTTCATATGTGTGATGTTCTCCTTTGAAGTCATCCCTTTTGCCCTTTCTCCATGTCTGTGTCCCAGTGCTTCTCCACCTATCAACATGTTCTGAAGATGGCCAGGACTTGCCATCTGTTCAGTCCCATGCCAGTGTGTCTACTGCAACCTAGAGGGATTAAGAAATGCCTCATTTTTTTTACAGGAATGCTTTCCACATGGAGCATAGACACAGACATGCTTTACTGCTACACACAATTCCCTATGCAAGCTGCTGTTCTTCTATTTCAGACTTTTCTTGTAACTATTTAACCTCTACCTTTTCCCTCCCTCACACATACCAGATCTATTAACTTAGTTTCTCTTGGTTGTTCATGCATTTAAATCCTAGGTTAGTTTCTGGATTGACTTTCATGTTTCTGTCCTCAAATCTGCAGTTTTAATTTGGAGTGTTATGAGTTACTGTCTCGGTTTGCCTTACACAGCTAATGTTAAAACAAATAGTGCCTTGTCAATGCTTGATGTTTCCCCAAGGATACCTCATACAATGTCACTTGCTTCTTTTTTATCTTCTAAGCATTTTCAATGATGAGATATGAAGGCATATTTCAAGAAAACTGACTCCAAGGTTTTAGCATTTTTTTAATCCAAGCTCAAAGAGGAAGAAACCCAGCTTTTTAAAGATAAAGATATTGCATATAAAGTCATATCTGAAAAATGCTGTTAATAGAAGGTTTCAACCCTTTCTCTGAAACGCCCCATTTTCAGTGTTTTAACAAGCTCAATGAGGTTGGCCAGAGTTTAAACCTCATAATTCCTAGAAGGATGGTGTCAGCTCTCTAATGCTCAAACGTACTGTTCCCAAGGAAGCTGGTTGCTTCTGACCAGGCTTGTAATTGTGTATATGTTCAGAGGCAGCAGTCTTTGATTTTCTTCTGCAGATAGGGAGAGCCTCAGGCTGAGTGAGCTGTGTACAACCATGGTGTTAGTGGTTTGTACCTCTGTTTGACCTCACTCTGCAACATGAATCGAAGTTACTAAAACCAACCAAACCATCTGCTTGGCTTGAGTGGATGTTGGCCTGTGTTTGGTGATGGCTTGTGCAGCTTCCATGGCTTCATGCAGAGCTGCCTGTGCATGATGGCTGCCTCATGTGACCGCACCTCCAAGTGGCAGCTCAGGTCATCTCAGACAAGGGCTGTGGATCTGTACTTTTGTATTTGCATTAACCCTGAGCCAGGGGGCAGATGCTTGTATTGGGAATTTGTATAAAGTGTTTAAACAATTTCAATAAATTGACTTTTTTAAAGAAAATCAGACTTAATTTGTTTGGGGTAGAACTCGAATGGTGAACATGGAAGAGGATTGCAGCCTGTGCTCTTGGGCACCTGCCTGGATTGCAGTTGCTCTGCTGTATCTGCTGCAGATGAAGGTGGGGACAGCTCTTCTGTGGTGAGTCAGATGCCTATGGCCTCTGGCACAAACTCACCCAGTAATCATCAGCTGCGATTGCAGCCTAGGAACCAGAAGGTCTGTTCCTCTTCAAGGCACGCCGCACCCCGGGTGGAGCAGGGAGATGGGCTCCCTGACAGGAGGAAGCTGCAGGAATGGGGACGGGACAGGGCGTGGAGCTGCAGCGTTCCTTGCAGAGATGCTCTTGTTTCAGTGGTGCCTTGGGTTCAGAAACCTTGTCTAGAGAACAAGAGCCAGCTGTGCTTTTTATTTTATTTATTTTTTTAAAGCTCTGTGTACTTTATTGCCTTTCTGGCCAAGCAGGATCATGAAGAGGACAGGAGCCCTTGAAGGTGCCCTTGGGAGGATGCCTTGCACCCAGAGACCTTCCTGGAGTATGTCATGCTTCCCTCAGCTGTGGTGGCATGTGCAAGCAGTTGGGTGTAAACTTTTACAGACCAGGTAATGACTCCCATCTAGCACTAGCTTTTGGTGACCTCTGGGCAAAGATCTGGTGATCTCCCAGGGGAAGCAAGGACCTACTCCCCTTCTGCTTGCCCTGGAAGCCTTTTTCTATTCAGGGGCCTTTTTGTGTTCCCCTTTTATGCTTTTGAGTGCATGTGATGTGAAAGCTTTGTGTTCAAAACTTTCTTACAGTCGGTCAAGAAGCTGTCTCTGTTCCCTCATTTTCCAAGGGCTATTTGCTTTTCTGCTGCAAACAAAAGGAATAGAGCTAATTAGGGTTGTGTAAAGCTGGCAGAGCAAAACAAGACAGGCATGTGGTTGGCTGAGTGAGCTTGCACTGCCTGGAGCAGACTGGTTGCCTGGCATAGTTTGGGGTCTACAGTCATTCTTATTCCAACCTGTCAATTAGTCAAGGATTTCCATTGAGATTAATTTTTTTCCCATGTTTTTATGTTCTTGTGCACACTGTCTCCAGGGGTTATTACAAATTCTGATCTGAAATTTCCTATTGCAGAAGGAAGGTGCCTAGGCAGACTAAAAAGAAAGAATAATCCCACCTATAAAATGGAAAGTAGAACTTTTTGTTTGTTGGTTTCTGGCACAAACAGAGCACTCTAACCTAGTGCAGAGGAAGGAGCCAGAGGCTGACCTCCTTGCTCACTATAGTTCTAATTTAGCAAAGCTCACAACCAAACCTACAGCTCTACTGGGGTTCCTGAGCTGCTAGCAGGAAGGTGCTGATTAGGCCAAGGGTGAGGATGTTCCATTTGTGAATGAATATGATCTCATGTGGGTCCCAATCCTAATTTCAGTCTTACTGTGATGACTCTTAGTATCCAGCAATGAAGACAGGTATTTGGAGAACTTTGCATTCTCAAGCGTTACCTGTCCCAGGTGGATCAGTTCTTGTTTGCTTTCTCCTGCTTAGGAGGGCTCTTCCAGTGTCTTTTGAAGTCATGCATTTTCACTTGCCCATATTTTCTGTATCTCTTTTGTCATCTCCATTGTTGGTTTTGTAGCAAAGTGGGGTAATGTGACATGAGTTGAAAGCTGGTGAATGGTTTCCCTTTGGATTTCAAGCTTTGTGTGTTGCCTTGAGATGCCTGCTGCTATAAACATCTTGAAATGAAATGATAGCATTTGTCTGTGCAGACAATGGGAACTTTGACTGCTTCTTGGCATCTTCCTCCACACACTATTTATTATTCACAGGGTGCCAGAGTTGTGCAGGGAACTTCACTGTCAGTAGGAATTATATGCTCACTCGTATCGGTTAGATACAATTCAAAAAAGGGAGGGACCTGCAGATGTTCTGGGATGGCATCAGCCTCTTGCATTTCTTTGCTTCTGCAACTCAATCATTTTAAGAAACTGTCCATGCTAAAGCTTTTATCAGATTCAGCTTCTGACTTATACATACATTTCCTAGAATAACTCCACCTGTCTTCAGTGCTGCTCTGAACATAAATACAGTTTTTTAAAGCACTGAACGGTGGAGATCCCAGAAATAACCAGCAGAGCTGCTGACAGCTTATGATGCAAAGTGTTTGTGCAATATAGAAGCTCGCGCTTCTTTTAATATGACACAGAAGCAGAAATAATATCATTACAGAGTAAAGGAAGTTAATGCAGATTTTTTGCTAAAGAAAACAATTCAGAAATGCTGGTATCTTCCTGAAGATGTACAAATTTAGTGGGTTTACAAATGTAGATGAGGAACCAGGCTGAGAGTTGTTTGTTCTGAGCATGGAGACATAAGAGTAACACTTGAGACAACTAATGAATTGACAACATAAAATAGGCTCGTTTCAGCCTCAGTGCCTTGCCAAAGGACATCTAAAGATGACAACAACAACAGCTTCTTCCAATGTCTTATGCCAACATCCACCTGAACAGGCAGCCTACAGGTGGTTATATTAGCACAGAGGAAGGACTGCAGTCAAATCTAGAGATATAAAATTTCTCCATAGGCTCCAGCAGCCAAACGCAGTCTAGTCAGGAAGTAGTATCCACTTTCCTATGCAAGTCATCGGGATTTCTCCTCTGCCATGTTCCTTGCCCACCCTGTGGCTTAGTAGTGGCTGAATATCAGAGGAATTTCCTGGTTCCACCCAGAGCAGAGGGTTGCCTGCAGGTGAGGTTTCCTCTCTCCTTTTCCACAGGAATGGCTGTTTGGAGACATGAAGTGGAGGCAGGCAGGCTTTGCCATATGGGGAACTCTGATCTCTTTAGATGTATCGCCAGAGGGAGTTTACCACTGCCTGTATTCTTTTCCTGAGGCTTTTATTTCTCTCTCCTCAAGTTGCATATGATCCATCCTCCATTAGTGAGAGGTGTGCATCTCACAAAGTCCTCTTAAAATTTCCATCAGTCCCACCATTCAGGTCAAAATTCCCCTTCCTGATCACTCTGCTTGGATGTCTGTTATCTCTATGGAGTTCCCAGAGGGACAGAATAGCTCTTCACAGGTATGATTTA